TAAAGAAGCTCGCTCTGCTTCTTGTGCATTAATATGTGTACTAGCATTCTCAGGTTTGTGCCGATTAAGTCACTCTTGTTTAGTTAGTTTTGTTAGTGAAGCTCAAGCAAACATCCTTTTGCAACGGGCTTAAAGATTGATCCCCACTCAGACTTTAGACTTGATTATTAACCTAATGTATTTTGCTTTAATAAATAGGTGATCCAAAGGCGAAAGGACAGTGCAGCTTGGCCTGGAGATTGAGACAAACAAAGTTACTACTTCATGCATGATAGGTGAGGTATGTTTCTTGAGAAATGACTGAAAATACCTATATAAAATATCCGGAGGCGTCGGCGGCGGTGACGTGCTATTAAGGACCTCTTCCAACTTATGCAAAAGTTTTCTACAGAACTTCTTCCAAAATAATAATACTTCTCATGTTAATCTTATAATATTTCTGTGATGTGTATATATGCTCCTCGTGATCATTGTCACGTAGTAGCAGTAGTAATAATAAAGCTTGATCATGTTAATCTTACAATATGTTTTTTCTGCTCTGCTGACCAAATGCCTCCCTCTCTTTTTCTTCCTTGACTGCTTCAGTTTATCCCAGATTGTATTATTTTCTTAAACTGAACGTGTTGCTTGAGTGCTTGACTAATTTGGAACTGATCAGTTTTCTTATAGCCGGTTGTCGGAGAGTTCAGACAACCGAGAGGTACAATATCATGTCTGCTTCCTGTTAATTCCTTTATTGGAAGGCATGCTGATGCAGGTTCTGTTACTTAGATTAGGATCAGTCGAACTGGATTAGCAATGTCCATAACAAATTGCATCTTTCCATGCTCGGTTTACCTTGTGCAGCTAGTATGTGTGCCCTTTTTTATCCAGTAGAGAGGTTTCTGATTTGTTTAACCACTTGGACAGAAAAATCCATGCTGATATTTGATAATGTAATATCGTACAATGATTATTGTTTTTAAGAAGTAAAAAAAACATACTTAAAATCACTACCTTTTCTCTGCAGGTTTCTTGCCGGAAGTTGATGGAAATATTCAAGAAGTTGATGATGGAAGTTACTCCGAGCTTAGTATGGAGCATGGACAGTTCACATAACTGCAATTTAATAAATGGAACAAAATATTGTATACTTTTGGACTTGTAACTACAAGTACCATTTTCCCTGCTGATGATGCATAATTTGTTTGACTTGACATGTAATTTAGACTGGTATGCATGTGTGGATGTGAGTTGAATATCTTCTAAATATTGTGTATTTTGATTTTCCTGAATTTCCCTTCAAAATTATATTTCAGATTTTATTCTCAATTGTTTTCAACCTCTGTGAAACGGGACAGTATATATACTGGAATTGCTATGACGCTTTTGTGGAAAATACTGTATTCATTTGTGGCCAGTTTTGATTAAAATGGGTGAATTCGATTTTTGCATGTCCCCTCCCTTTTCCCTTGGTGTCCAAACAGCAAAGGGGTATTTCCCGTGGTGGTCCTGGGATCCCAGGTGAGCAGGGAAATCCCCCCTTGGGGGCTTATTGCCCAGGGTTTGTCATCCCCAACAACCAAATTAGCCCTCAATGGCAAAACCTCGGTGTTCGGGATGGTGTTTTGGGGTGGGACTGAGGTGTTGCACACCAACGTGACGGATCTCCGGACTCGGCGCTGCTAGGCCTGGCGTACATGCTTTCGCATGGGCGTCGCCTAGTGCACGAACTAGAGTTGGTTACTGCTCGTATGTGTGACGCAGTGAGGTGACTTTTCTCCCTTTTTTATTTTTTGTTTGTTTAAATCTTGAAATATTCTAAACATATATATTCTTTACTTAAAAATTTAAGAATGTTCACCGCTCATCTAAAAAATGTCCGTCAATGTTACAATTTTGTTCGCACAATTTTCAGAAAAATGCTCGTGACATTTAAAACGTGTTCACATTTAAAATATTGTTCATTATATATTTTTCAAATGTTCATGAAAATGTAAAAGTTTGTTCATGTAATTCATAAATATATTTGTACAATTCAAAAAAAATTAATGACATTTGAATATGTTCACGTGTTTAAAAACATGTTTCATGACATTTTAAAAAGGTGTTTATGGAACCTACAAAATTATTCACGCAATTTTTTTTCAAAAAGTTCATAACATATAAATTTTTGGTTTCGTGACACTTTAAGAAAATGTTTTAACACTTTACTCATTTTAAGAAAAATGGTCATGGTATTTTTGTAAAATGTTCAATCATGTGTGTAGAAATGTTCATTGTATATTTTAAAAAGTTCAATGTGCATTTTACAAATGTTCAACATGTATTTGGATAAATGTTCAGAATGTACTTAACAAATGCTCAATGTGTATCTAACAAAATTTCAATTTCTATGCGAAAATGTGCAATGTGTATTTGAAATATTTCGACATGCATTTGAAAAAAAAACACAAAAAAGGAACAGAAACAAAGATGAAACGAAAATAAAACAACATAGAACTGATGAAAACCGATAGAG